TGGAGAAATGTCTATTTAAATCAGTTGTACATTTTTAAATTGGGTTGTTTGTGTTGTTGACATAAGAATCCTTTAGATATTCTAGATGTGTCTATTATGAGATATATGATTTACAAATATCTTCTCTGATTCTGTAGGTTGTCCTTTCACTTTCTAAATGGTGTCCTTAGAAGTTTTAAATGTGCTGAAGTCTAACATAACTACTTTTCTTCTGTTTGCTTGAATATCTTCTCTGATTCTGTAGGTTGTCCTTTCACTTTCTAAATTGTGTCCTTAGAAGTTTTAAATGTGCTGAAGTCTAACATAACTACTTTTCTTCTGTTTGCTTGTGTTTTGGGTGTTATGTCTAAGAAACTATTGCCTAATGCAAGGTCACAAAGATTTATGCCTATGTTTTTTTCTAAGAGTTTTATAGGTTTTAGCTTTTATGTTTAGGTCTCTGATCCACTTTAAGTTAATTTTTTTTATATGATATGAGGTAGGAGTCTAACTTCATTCTGTTGCACGTGAATATCCAGTTATCCCAGCACTTTATATATAATAGGATGGCTATAATCAAAAGGACATTTTACAAGTATTGGTGAGGATGTAGAGAAACTGGGACTCCTGTACATTGTGGTGGTGGTGTAAAATGGTATAGCTTCCTTGGAGTGTATTCTGGTAGTTACTCAAAATTTTAAACATACAGTTACTATGTGGCCCAACAATTCCACTCCCAGATATACACCCAAAAGATCTGAAAATATATGTCCACAGAAAAACTTGTGGACAGATGTTCGCAGCAGCATTATTCATAACAGCCAACAGGTGGGAACAACCCAAATGTTCATCAGCTGTTGAGTGGATAAACAAATGTGGTATACATACAATGGAATATTATTCAGCCATAAAAGGAATGAAATACTGATATATGCTACAACATGGGCGAGTCTTAAACATTATGCTAAATGAAACAAGCCAGACATAAAAGACCACATATTGTATGATTCCATTTACATGAAATGTCCAGAAAATGCAAATCCATAGGGACAGAAGATAAATTTATGGTTACCAGGGATTGGGGGAAGAGGGAATTGGAAATGACTGCTAACGCAAATGGGATTTTTTTTTTGAGGTGATGAATATGTTCCAGTATTAGATTTTGGTGATGGATGACGACTCAGTGAATATACTCAACATTATTGAGTAGTATCACAAGATGAATTTTATGGTTATGTAAAAAAGGATAACTAAATTATTATACTGTATTTAGATAAATTACCAAGTTTTAATTGTATATTTTAACAATGTCTGGTAATAATGCATCATAAAGCCTGTGATAGTTGAATGCTTATAAAAGTATTTGAAGATAGTATTTGAAGGTAGAATCAAAGTATGTCTGTATCACAGTGGCAGTGTTTGACATTTAAATAAAGGTGTAATAGAATAATTTCCACTTCGACCTCTTGAACTAAGTGTTAAATAGTTTTCTTCTAGATTTTTTGGTGTTACATTTTTATTTGGTAAATATTAATAAAAAAATTATCTATGGGCCATAGGGTGTATATGTATTAGTCTTGAACTTATGCCAGAATAGAAAATAATCTAGAAATGGAATTGATGATGTTGCTTAATTTCTAATACTGTAAATTGGGAAAAGTCATTGTCCTACTCTTGAATGTTTCTTAATATTTTTCAAATTAAATGTTAAGAAATTTTGAGAAAAAAATAATAATTTGGAAATGAACCTGTATCCTGTAAGATTGACCTGGTTATTGTAGTGCAGTGAGATTTCACAGATAAAACAATTATACATTTTCAAGTCTGTATCCCCAGTGCCTGTCACAGTGCCTGACACATAGGTGTTTTAAAAATACTTATTGAATGAACAGTGGTGCTGCATAGTAATTTAGTCTAAGTAACTTTTCTCTTTTGACTCATTCCTGCCATTAAAATTCAGTTCTACCTTTGTAGGAGGTTATTCCTTGTGTAAGAAATACTACCAAAAAAACAAAAACAAAAAAACAAACCCCAAGACATTACTTGGACTCTTCTCAGCTAGACACATTTCTAAAATCTTATATCTGGGAGTTCTGGTCAAGATGGCAGAGTAGACAGTCCCCAGCGTCACTCTCTCCCACAAATCAACCAATTTACAACTATAAAAATGTAACATCAGCCATGCTGGGGCCACTAGAGCTGAGGGGAAGAGGAGGAGAGACCTACGGAGTTTATGAAGGCAGGAGGAACCACGATGAGAGAAAGAAAAAACTGCTCTGAGCATTTCGGCTGTGGCTGCTTTAAGGCTGCAACTGCTGAGCGCATGGAGCAGGAGCTGGCAGGAGCCAGCAGAAGCCGCAGCTGTGCCCTTCAGATGGAGTTACTGGAGGCGGCAGGGGAGAAGAGGGCCTTGGTGGCCCCAGGACAGCAAGACCACTAAAAGGGTTCCTATGGTCCCACACAGGAGTGAGGAGCCAGAATGGCTGAAAAAGGGGAGCCATTCAGAGGCCAGTGAGTCATTGCAAGGGACTGGCACAGGGTCTGCCCCATGGGAAGTGTTTGGAGCATGGGCAATGGGGGAGACAGGCCAACTAGGAGAACACTTGAACATAGCAAGGACAGCTGATGTGCCCCCCAATCAGGGCAGGACCACTCAGAGGAGACTGGTCAGGAATGCATAGTTGCATGGGGTGCAGTTTGCTGAAAAAACTCAGGCCCAGATCAGAAAAAAGCCTTCCCTAGGGAAATGGCAGCAAGGCAGCAATTTAGCTCAACCACAGAGCTCAAGTACTGGTTCCCACAGGAAGTTCCTCTGTTTTAGAAGTAAGCAAAGGACAAAAAATTAGTTCCAGCTCAGGCACACCACCAGTGCTTTGGGGCCTGCCAGGGGACATGAGGTATGGAGCCGGGGAACAGACCCCCGCCTACTACCACTCACACCACCAGCACCTTGGGGCCTCCTGGGGACCTGAGTCATGGAGGGGGGAACCGGACCGCCCTCCCACAATCAGGCACACCACACCAGTGCCTCTGGGCCCACCCGGGGACCCGAGGCATGTAGGAGAGGACCAGACCCCCTCCCACAACCAGGCACACTGTGCCAGTGCCTCGGGGCCCACCTGGGGACCCCAGGTATGGAGCTGGGGACCAGACACTCCCCACAATCAGGCACACTGCCAGCACCAAGAAGCATGCCAAAAACATCACCTCCATGTGGGTGGCCCACCACAGCCACCACAATAACCATGGCTGCTGTGAAAGCAATTAGACACCACAATCTCCATGCAGATGGTCCGCCAGCCACTGGAGTACATTAACACAAGGAGAGTCACCAGTAGAGATAAAAGAAAAGGAGGTCTGTCTCCACAAAGCCCACTTCAGAGTGGCAGAAGAAGCATCTGCTCCATTATAATATTGGGGGACCTGATGCTTTAGTCAGTTTTGTGTTGCTATAACAGAATTACCTGAGACTGGGCAATTTATAAAGAAGAGAGGTTTATTTGGCTTATGATTCTGGGACAAGCTGCATCTGGCACAGGCCTCGGGCTGCTTCTACTCATGGCGGAAAGTGGCAGGCAGCGGCAGGTACAAGCAGATCACATGGCAAGAGGAAGCAAGAGAGAGAGAGAAGGTGCCAGGTTTTAAGCAACGAGCTCTTGTGGGAACTAATAGAGCGAGAACTCACTCATTAGTCCTCCCCCCATTCATGAGGGATCCGCCCCATGACTCAATAAGTTTCCAATACTGCCACATTGGGGATCAAATTTCCACATGAGTTTTGGAGGGGACAACACATCCAAACTCCATCACCTGATCATACCTTTCAGCATTGGACATATCATCTAGGCAACAAATCAACAGAGTAACCATTATTCTTTCAGAAGGAGAGAAGAAATCTAGGGTAATTAGAGGGAGGAAAGAGAGCGAGGGGGGATGGGGAGAGATTGGGCAAGGGGCATAAAGAATAATTACGATTTGTGACAATATATATGCTAGTAATATTGATTTGATCAACATAACTCAGTGTTGAACCCCAAAAATATGTATAATCAATTTTGATTCAATAAAAATTTTTTTAAAAGAAAAAGAAATGAACTAGGAAAAGAAACCTTTGATCTGTAAAGGTTTTAAAATACATGTTTAATGAGGAACAATTTACAAACAGTAGAATTCACCCATTTTAAATGTACAATTTAGTGCACTTTGACAAATGTATATAGTCGTGTTAAGTGCCACCACAAGCCACCACAATGAGACATGGAACATTTCCATTCCCCCAAAAGTTCCCTCATGCATCTTTGTTGTCAGTTCCTTCATTCCACCTGCAATCCCTGGTAACCACTGATCTGATTTATGTCCCTGTAGCTTTATATTTTTAGTATGTCATATAGATGGAATTGTGCAATATAACTTTTGTGTCTGGCTTCTTTCACATAGCAGAATGCCTTTGAGATTGATCTTTGTTGCACATATCAGCAATTTGTTCCTTTTTATTTCTAAGTAGTATTTCGTGCACATTTTTAAATTAAAAGAATAAATTTGTTGAGTCATCTCTATGCATACACAAGTAATAATGACCCAACAACTTTGGATGATCTTACTGCACTTTGCTGAGAGCATAAGGTAACTTCTGTCAGTATGTTGCACATGTGTCCATGAATGCTCCTGTGCCAGAACATTTAGCTTCTAATCATACTACAAGTTTGGGGAGATTTCATAGTGGTTCTACTGGCCAGATATCTGGTAGTAGCTGTGTGTAAACTTGAACTCAGGACTTTATTTTTTTTTATCTGAAAGCCTAACTAGCAGTACAGTAGGCAGAAGATGAAGAACATATTCTAGTCTATATATTTTATTCTACTACACTATAATCTGCTTTTATTGTTTTTACTAGGTCTGAGAAAAGGAGCAGAACACACCAGTCAGACACACACAGAAGAATCACGTTTGCAATGACATGGTTGGCAGCAGAAGTGTTTTAAATTTAAATTATTAAAAACCAAATTTGTTTTATTTCATAGAAACAGTCAAATGTTTGATGAAGATAATATATTGAATGAAACACCAAAATCCCCTGTGATTAATTTACCTGATGAGACAACTGGTGCCTCACAGCTGGAAAGAAGCACAGAAATAACCAAGATCCAGACTACTACCACAAATAGTGTGGTGAGAAATTTAAGATCTCGTCCATTTACAACATGTCCTTCAAATTATTTTGAGGGGAGAAAAGACAACTGAAAGTAGGCATATTATGACAGTATTGCTAGCATTGATGTGCTTTTGCTGTTAAGATCTAGAGAATATCATACTAGTCCAACAGTTCAACTAATAATGAATAAAGAAATTTGACTCAGTCCACAATTGCAGATGGATATTTTAATGGTAGTTTTCTATAAAGTGAATAACTTCACAAGTTCATTAAGGATGCGTAATTAGTTTTAGTAATTAATATGTAGATGCATTTTTAGTCTTTCCTAGGTGAAGGTAGAGACTTCAGTACACAGCAGCCAAACCTTGCCCAGAGGAAAAGAATCCTTCCAGCTTGGATGTTAGCAGAAAATTTAAGTGATCAAAACCTTTCAGCATCAGTAATCAGTGGAGGTAGGTTTTTGTTCCTTCTAATGCTTACTTTCAAGAAAACACTAAGCAGAATTTAAAAGTTTTCAGAACAAAAACTATAAACTATCTCTGTAAAGATAGAGTAGTGGTTGTATAAATGCATAGCTTAAAACTTTTTAAAATGTGTACCTGAAGTCTAATTTAAAACATAAGCTATTACTTTATGCCACTTATCAAACACCATCAGTAATTATTTTTTTCATTAAACAGGTGTCATTATCTTATATGCTATTATTATGATGTAGATTTTCAAAAAACTCATTCCTGTCATGTGTAAGGATAAAAGACCAGAACAATAAGAACATTTAAAATTAATTCAGTTAAATAAAAAAAGTACCAGATGCACAATGTTATGTGCTGGGGGACTCAGTGAAGATGGGACCTCTTGTCCTGGTGCAGCTCACTCATGGTACATATCACAGTGATTTATGTCTTCTGCTGAGTGTTCCCATTATTTTAAGATTTTTTAAATGTTTACTAATTGTCTTATTTAGGCAGCATTTTATTTTGGGGGAAGTCATAGTAACTTACTCAGGCTAGTTTAATTAACTTGTGAGGTGATACAAATACAATTATAAGAAATATAATCAGGTCTTCTGGGAGATGGATGATTAGGCAGTACTTCTCTTCCTTTCTCTGGACACATGACCTCTCTTCTCCGTTTCTCTCTCTTTGCTGCAAAGGCTGGTAGTTTCTGTCCGTCTATGATTTTGCATGTGGTTTTGGCTATCCTCACTTCTGACATTGGCCCAAATTTCCCTCTCTTTCAGCCTTTGCTGTCTAACAGTTTACCTGGCTACTGTGTCTCAATTCCAAATTCTAGATAAGAGAATCTATTTGGCCCACTTTGAGTTAGGTCCCCTAGGTCCATGTTTACTAAGAGGGTCTGGTCAGGAAGGAAATGATGGGCATCTCTAACATACATATGCATTCGTAAAAGTTGTTCAAATACCATGTAAATAGTTTTAAAATCTTTTCAGTTCTGCTGTATAGTAGTTTTAAAAGTATTAGTCATAGGTCTAGAGATAGTGTTAGATACAAGTGGAACAAATAGAACTGTGGTATCAAAGTGCTTTTTAAAGGTTTTTCTACACAAAACTATAAAAACTGACTAAATAAGGAAATAAGAAACCTTCCCAAATTTAAACATTCTCTTTTTAATTTTATTTGTGAAAAATTTCAAAAATAAACTAAAAGGAACAGTACATATAATGAACTCCCCTGTACCCATTAAACAGCTCTAACAACAATATCCTGCCGTCCTTATTTATTTATTACTTTTTACAGTGAATACTCTGTTTCTGGCTTCTTTTTCTCATAAAATGTCTGAGATTCATTTGTGGTTTTGTACATATCAGTAGTTTATTTCTCTTTATTGCTGAATAGTATTCTGTTGTTGGAATATATCAGTTTTTTTATTCATTACCTTGTTGATGGTCACTTGGGTTGTTTCCAGTTTTTGCCTATTGTGAAAAAAGCTGCAATGACTATTTTTACACAAGTGCATTTGTAGTCACATGCTTTCATTTCTTGCGAATAAGGGAGCGATGAGTAGGTGTATGCTAACTTTCTAAGATACTTCCAAATTTTTTTCCAAAGTGGTTGTACCATTTATGTAGGCCCTAGAAATATATGAGGTATATCCACATTTTCACCAACATGTGGTGTTGCAGTCTTTCTTAATTTTAGCTGTTCCCATGGTGTGCAGTGGTACCTTACTGTGTATGTTTTAAAGTCTGAATTATTGAGATATATTTTACATACCCTTTTTAAGTGTGTAGAACTCTTGCATTTATTTAGGTCTTCAATTTTTCTCATCGATGTTGTAGTTTTCAATTACAAGTTGTACACATGTTTTGCTAAATTTACTTGAAGTATTTCATATTTTGATGCTATTCATAAGTGGTATTATTTTTTAAATTTCAATTTCTGATTGTTCATTGCTAGTATATAGAAATACTATTCATTTCTGGATATTGATGTTGTATTTTATGACTTTATTAAACTCATGTATTAGTTTTGGTAGCTTTTTTATAAATACTTTGGAATTTTCTGTGTAGACAATATTGTCTGTGAATAGAGACAGTTTTACTTTTTTCTTTCCAATGTATATGCCTTTTATTTATTTATTTTGCCCCCTTCTAATTGCCTTGTCTAGGGAATCTGGTCAAATGTTGAAAAGAATTGGTGATAGTGGACATTCTTGCCTTAGTTCTGATATTCAGGGAAAAGTAGCCTTTCTCCATTAAGTTTGAAATTACTTGTTGTTTTTTCATAAATTCCCTTCTCCAGATTGAAAAAGTTCCCTTCTGTTTCTGATTTCTCTGAGTTTTTATCTTGATAGTTGTTGAATGTTGTTAAATGCTTTTTATATATCTAATAAGATGATTATATGGTTTTTCTTCTTTATTTGGTTCATATGATGAGTTATGTCTATTGATTTTTAAATATTAAATCAACCTTGCCTTCCTGAATAAACTCATTTGACTATGATGTATTATCTCTCTCTCTCTCTTTTTTTTAATTTGTTAATGATTTTTCATCTGTGTTCTGGGTGATGTTGATCTATACTTTTCTTGTAGTGTCTTTGTCAGGTTTTGATATAAGGGTTATGCTGGTCTGTTAAAATGGGAAGTATTACTCTTTTATATATTTTCTGAAAATTTGTCTTAGTTCAGGATGCTATAACAGAATACTGTAGCCTAGGTGGCTTAAATAACAGATATTTATTTTCTGTACAGCAAATTTTTTATTTCAGTTATTGTACTTTACAGTTCTAGGATTCCTCTTTTTTTTTTTTTTATTAGTAGATTCTGTTTCTCTGATGGTATTCCCCATTTATTCAATCATTATATATTTTTTTTTCTATAAATTCTTCATTATGTTTATAAAAGCCTCATTAAAGTCTGTGTCTGTATGCAACTTTTCAGTCATCTCTGGTTTCGTTTCTATTGACGACTTGTTTTTGTTTTACATGGGTCACATTTTCCTGTGTGTTCTGTGTCCAGTGACTTTCTATTGGATATTGGATGTTATGAATGATATATTGCAGAGGCTCTTGATTTCGTTATATTCCTCTGAAGAAATACTGTTTTTTCTAATAGGCAATTAGTGTGGTTTCCTCTGTTGCAGACAGCAGCTTAGTCTCTACTTAGTTCTTCAGTTTTCACCTGCTGCTTTTTTTTCTGGGTTCCTGGGGTTTCCCCCATGCACGTGTAGTTTAGCAGTCACTCAAGGATTTGGTTGATTTTATATGTAGGTTTTGATTCTTGCCCCTTCTGAGGCTCCCTTCTTCAAGGATTTTATCCCTAACTTTCTGTCTGTTCTCCTAGCCTCAAGCTCTGTCTTTTGACTATTTAGACCAGTAAGCGTGCAGCACGTTCTGCCTCCTGTGAATTGGAGAATGCCCTCAGGAAAAAAGCCACAAATTCACATACCTCATAGGTTGTAATTAATTTTTCAAGGTTAGACCCTTACTCAGCTCTGCCTTTTTGGCACTCTCCAGTGCCTTCAAATAGTTGTTTTTTTAATATTTTATCCTGAATTTATAATGGTTTTATTTGGGATGATTAGTGTTCAATTAGGCTATTCTGCCATTTTACCTTGAATGTTATCTTTTATAAGTTAACAGCACAAATGAATACATATTCTAGTTAGAATGTTACTGTTCTTAGTGCTTATCATATTCTATATAGTGGCCATAGCAGTCTACTAAAGTTTTTGATCAAGATTAGGCTATTCTGCCATTTTACCTTGAATGTTATCTTTTATAAGTTAACAGCACAAATGAATACATATTCTAGTTAGAATGTTACTATTCTTAGTGCTTATCATATTCTATATAGTGGCCATAGCAGTCTACTAAAGTTTTTGATCAAGTACGTTATTTACAGAATATACTTTATTTAATGCTAGTTTGGATTATGGTAGGATTAGTGTTCTCATGGGAAAAGTAGGTTATATATTTTGCATTGAGGGTGATGTGATTTAATCTGGAGTATTTTCAAATCTAAGCCTTAGAGTTTCTTGGTAAGGGTTTTGTTCTAGTACAGTGGTTTTCAATGCCCCCCCCCCCACACCCATGCAATCATTTCAGTACATATCTCATTAAGTATGGTAATCCTCAATACAGACAGAAATGGGGAATGGTAAGGGTTAGTGGCAAGCAATTTCCTTCAGTAGAACAATTTCTCTGATAATAGAAAGAATAAATTTACTTGACCAAAAGTTGGACTAATGTGAACTGCCTTCCCACAAACAAGTTTTTTTTCAGAGTTGTTTTGTACTATAATTTTCTGTGCTACCACAGTTAGGTTGCTTGTGATAGTCCAAAATATATTTTGCTTCAAATTATAACCAGCTATTAACTTTCACTCAATAGATGTTCCACATAAAATATGAAGCACCTTTTTAGGCACTTTTCCTTGAAAATACAAATGAGAATTATTTGACATTGGTCTGGACAGGAATATTACATAGTACACAATGCACTGAAAATGCTAAAACTTGAAAATAAGATAGAAAAGTCTTTGGATTCAGGCATATCTTCATCTTATAAACTTGGAAGTACTTATAAGAGCAAGGTTAGGTTATTTAATTCCTTCAAAGACAGAAACATTTACAAGTATATGACAGTTTAGTACTTGAATCCTGCTAATTAAAAGTTAAGATAATTAGACATTTTCTTCTGTGTAGTATTTTTAAAAATTGTTTTGTTTGTTTAAGTAATAAATGACTGAGGTCAATAAACCAATGCAAGGGATTTTTAAAAATCAATTTCCAGGATGTATTTTAGGCTCATTTAGATATGAGTAACTTTCCTATGTCTTTTGCAGCTTTAGAACTATATTGCGGTAATTGATATTCACTTAGGTTATTTGAAACCAACTTAATATTTTGGAACCTCTATTTTAATTGTTAGGAACAGGTCAGATAGTGTTAACTGATATTAAATGACTTACCTAAGATCATGTAATAAATGCCAGAACTGTAATTGGGATGTAGCTCTGTCTGACTTCAAATCCCATATTGCTGCACAGCCACCTACATTTACTTCCTATATGTCCTGTTTTCATTTGTTCATCTTTTTTTGATATGCTCTTACATTCTCTTCTGAATCTTTTCTCATTTTAACTCTTGGTTTAATCCTTATATGTATGTGAATTTTTATAGTGATCAGACTGTCCTTTCTGTTTTTTAGACAATATAGTTCTAATTTATTTTATTTTCTATGCTCCAGGTACTAGCCGTTGGATGTTATCATGAGTTTTTCAGGTTTGGGCTAAAATATTTTCCATGTCCCTTAGTGATTGGGAAATGAATATATTTAGACAAAGGCTTTCAGAGCCTCCTCTCTCTTGATCTGGAGTTACCTTTGTTCCCTCAGCCTTCCAGGCCTCAGAACTAGTCATAAATCTTAAAACAAACACTCTTGGTAGATTATATCTTCATGGGTATCATACTACTCTGTAGAAATCTTCTTCCCCCATCTTCTAACCTTCCAACTTGGAGTCATAAGAAGTGGTACGTGCTGATGAAGATTGAAGTAGTCCCACACCATCTGATTTGCACTTAATTTTGTACTGTGAATATTTGCATTACGACATCTTGATGCAAATTATAAATATTGAGTTGACATTGTTTTAATTGGACTGTAGTACAAAATTGACTTAAATGTACTTAAAGCACTAGTTATTCTATTCACTTTGTTTCTGGCAACGTTGCTAAATCATCTAATTAATTCTAATAGTTTTTGAACCTCTTGTATTTTCTATCATCTTCTTATTTATCTTCTGTATCAGGTATTCTGCTAGATAGTTTACATATCTTACCTCATTACTTCTCCTAATAACTCTATGAGTTGTTATTATAATTCCCATTTTCCAAAGTTCACAGAAGTGAGGTGAAACACTTAAGGAATGGAACCCACATTGGCATGTTGGCCTGGCATACTCCAAAGCTGGAGCTCTTGGCCATCGTGCTGCTTAGTAGTTTTTGAGATTTGCAAATAAGTGTTTTTCAAGTTGACATTACTATAAATGGAACTTTACTTACTCTTTTTTCCTTTCCTTTGTTTGGTATGGATTATTGACATTTGAAGATACAGACGATAATTTTCTTCTTTTTCTTTATGTGTGTGTGTTTCTGTGTGTTTAAGATAATAATGTAACCCAGGGCAGTGGAACAGAAGGAATCTGCAAACATAAAACCCATGCAAACATAACACAGCAAGGAAGAAAGCGATTAATTTCATCAGGAAGTTCAGAAAATATATCAGCAGAACAAGATACAGAAAAAAAGTGCAAAAGCACTGATCAGAAAGAGCCTGTCATTTCATCCAAGGTGATTTTTAAAAAATTCATTATTCGATTGTTTCTTTTCTTTGTCCAATATTCTATCTAGGAATTAATTATATGCTGTATACAACAAAGAGAAAGAAAAACTGCTTTTCATTATTGAGGTTATGAAGATAAAAACTAGCCCTTTTTTTGGCTTACTGAAATTAATCTTTATTTTTTTGAAACTAATCTTTAATATAGTATTTGCATTGTAGGAAACAAAGTCATTAAATACAGAAATTGTCAGACTGGAAAAAAAAGTGGAGACCACTTGACTGGTCATACTTTGGCACCTTCCTTCTGAACACCTGGCTTCTTCTATGCCATTGGTCGTGCACAGACTGCATGTAATCACCTTTTTCTCGCTAAGTATGAAGAAAAAAAACAAAAGATGGGGTAGTTTTTAATAGTCTGTTGCAGGATCACTTCTGGGCTAACTTACAGCATTTATAGACCTCCTCTTTCTTTCAGTTTTTGTAATTTGCTAATATGGTTTGGTGGAATTATGCATTCTTTAACACTTGGTACTTAAAGAAGAAAATGAGGCCTATTTATTGGATGCATTTAAAAAGAGAGAGAAAGAAATGGCCCCAGGGTAGAAAGTTCAGACATTCTTCCTTTCTGGAGAGAGGTGGCTTAAGATGACAGTTGTCATGATCCTTGTAAGACCAGTGGCTGAACTCTCTGGGTCCCTGTCTTGTTAGTCGCAGGGAAAGCTAAAGAAATAGGATTGGTCTTAGAAGAGCTTGCACTGGAATGAGTGAAATGCCAGCAGCTATCCCAGAGGTCGGTCCTTTTATGTACTCCCCTCATGCCTCCCTCTTCTCCCAGAGAGAGGAACCAGCTTCTCACTGGAACCTCTCTTCCAGCTAGAGAAGTGGGTCAAGTCACTATAGACTCAACTCCTTTATTTACTTACAGAGTCGAGTTTAATAAATGAAAACAAAATGTTTTTTGGCTCACATATATTGGCCATAAAAACTTATTAAAATAAAACTTATTTTATGTAAACTTTGGGCTCTCATGTGCTCTACTCTGTAAACCCTGAACATATCTATTGATTTTCCCTTTTTTTCAAGAAGAGAAATTATTTTGTTCAGAAGAAAATCTATAGTATACGTTTTACTCTGTTTATTCCAACCCATAAACTTTGATAATCACAAGAAAAACTCTAAGATTGTAGAAAGAAACGGCAAACAGATCCAAGATATTCATAATATTTGTGAGGGTTTGATGACATCAAGGGAGTACTACAGCCAAGTCCCAGGAATGCCTGAGCTCTATTTGGCCAATTGCTCTTGCTTCTCTTAGGGCTTCTGAAGATTTACCACTCCTAGCACAGGAAAAACAAGGCTTCAGGTTTCATAAGTCTTTATGCAGAGCTGTATGGTTAAACTGTGCCAGAGAACATGATTTAGACTGAAGACCCAAGCAGGACCTTTCCAGACCCCACCCTCTATCCCTGCCTGGTTTCAGTATTAACACTGGTGAGCAGCTAGTCCTACAGAGATGGCTACAAAGCAGAGCAGGTGAAAGAGAAAGTTAAATGTGAGAGAAAACAGGAAGCTCGGCCCACCTATGTAATCTAGTGGCAAGAGGTTGCCTGAGATTCTGATTCATTTGGTCTGTGCATCAGTAGTATCTTAAATAAGCTCTCTCAATTTTAATGGGCCCTTGAAGTAGAGTGCTACTGACATACCATCATTCAACACCTCAGAAGACACTGAGGCCCAGGGTGTCAAACATAAGTCTTTTCATTTTGGGTACAGTGGATTTTTCTATCATAAATATTAGACTGTGTATAAGAGTTTTCTAACTCTGAAGTCGTCCACGTTTTTCATCAGTTCTTCTGTATTTTTCTACACTCCTTGCCAGTTTTGTAATTGTCTAATTTGGAAGTGAAAATGAGGGTGCTTGAATTGATTAACTTTAATGAAAAGGATGGTTCCATGGTTTGAATGTTTTTGTCCTCTCCAATAATAAGAAATAATAAATCATTGTCATATTAAGCCATTAACAAAATTTTACTCCAAAAATTCACCTTGAAACTGAATTCCAAGTACAATAGTATTGGGAGATGAGTCCTCATAGGAGGTGTCTAGGTTCTGAGGGCACCCTCATGAATGAATTAATGCTGCTATAAGAGAGCCACTCTCAAGCACCAAGGCCACTTTCTACCAGCTCTGTTTCACTTTTCCTAAAGTCTCTGATGTGTATTTTTACATTGTAGGGGATCTGGCTTTTCTATCATGAATCTCTAGCCTTCCACACTTAATCCTTCACATTTTCATCTCATCTAAGAAATAAGCAGTGTGGGAAGCTTAGGAAATATGGAGTTCACTGTTTTTCCCCTACTTCTTCCAAGTACAGAGCACCTTCCATCTTGCCAGTTCGGTGACTTGGTCTAGCTCATGGGCTTTGAAATTGGTACAGTACAAACTTATGTCTCAGCAAAGTTACAAATTACCGCATGTTTTGGGATCATTTATAAATAATTGAAAATAAATAATTGAAACCATGAATGTTAAATTCTTGAATGCCACAGGTCTACTGTATATCAATATTTTATGGAGTTCCATAAAGAGCATTATGAATTCTAGCTTTTGTGCCTCTTAAAATATATTTGAGATCCATAGTATTGATATCTGTGACTTTAACATTTCTTTCTCTTTCAGAGTAAATTAACATGTAAAACATACTCCTTGTGAGGATTTAAAAACTTTTTAAATAAAACAAATCCTTTATATTTTATGGAAGTAGAAGGAATTGAAATATGATGCTACACATTTCATTTCATATATTTCATTTTCTTTGTTTTTCATTTTTGAAATGACAAAATAATACATGCTTATGTCAAAAAATAGAATACTCAGAAGCATGTGAAGTAAAGACTGAAAACCCTGGTTTGCCTCATCACTTCAGTCCAGTTGCCTTACTAATATTTTGGTTTGTATTCTTCCAAAACTTTTCATTTTGATTTACACAAGTAAATACATACATAGATATTTAAGGAATTTAAAAATTTTTTTAAAAAGCTAAAAGGCATCACAGTACAGATATTCTTGTTTAGTTAAAGATAGATCTGTCATTATTTCAATATCTGCATAGTGTTTCATAGTAAGAATGTATTCTGATTTACTTAAACAGTTCCTTCATTGTGTTCCCTTTCTATAATAAATGTGACAGGATGTTGAGTGGTATTTTTCTCTGTTGTCCAAAAACTGCTGCTGAGACCCAAAGCTGGAGACTCAGTGCTAAGTATAAGTATACTATGTTTGAAAGGAGCCCCCAGCACTGAGAATGTGCCATTTCCCTGTGGGGCTTATTGAAGGGTAGGATAAGTGTTTACCATCCCATTTCTATGCCTTATACAAAGAGAGCTGAGAGGCCAGAAAGTTTTTAAGGTCTAGGGATGTGCAATGTTTGTGGGGAGCAGTTATTTCCTCCCTTTTTAAAATCAAGATAAGAGTAGTGCTCTTACTTGTGGAGTTTGGAAATGCCAACAGGAACAAGAGAGTGGCATTTTATTGGACATCCACTTAGCCACTAGATTTGCTGACCTACCCCATTGCTACCTGAACAGGGAAAAAAAAGAAAAAACTGGGGAGAGATGACCCAGTGGGGGACCGCCAAGTGCAGAGGTGGGTCAGGATTGCTCCATTCCCACACCAGAGTTTCAGTCACTGGCGTGTGCCAGTTAGCCTTGTAGTGAAGGGGGATGAGATTGGGGTATAGTGGAGCAGTTTGGAAGCAAAGAATGTATGTTTTGGAGGGATGTGACATGAATAGTACCAGCTGAGGGTCAACTACAAGAGGTAGCCAAATGATTGCTTTTCCCAGAGGTTATCTGTTACTGTATTAGAACCATGATAAGATTTAGGTTTGTTTTGCAAGTCAGGATAGCATTTTTTTTTTTCTTTGTCTTTTTCCGTGTCCGGCAACGGTTCGCAACCCTCAGTGTCACCCCCGTACCGGACCGGGACCGGCAACGGGATCGCAACCCTCGGTGTTGCCCCCGCGCCTCACTCAGCCAGTGAGCGGGAACCGGTCTGTATGTGGGATCCAAACCCTCGACGGGAGCGCCGCCGCGCTTCCCAAGCGGCGCACTAGCGCAGTGCGCCACCGGGCCGGCCCAGGATAGCATTTTAAAGTTACATGCTGTGCTTCTTAAAAAAAGAAAAAAAAAAAAAAACACTTAAGTAATTAGTTTAAAAGAAATCATGCTAATAATATTTTCCTAAGAAATTTGAGCTGTTGTATATTAAGTAATATCAAAATGAGCTTTTTCCAGATGGCAGCCCGCATACATGAGTCCTTGGTTATAAAATGGAGGTAAACATTCATGTGTGTCTGATATGTTATTACTACATCTTAGAAATGGTTACCAGGAGAACTGGGGTTTATCTGATCAACGTTTGTACTCCACAAAAATTACAAATAATTAAGAGGTCATTTTTAATGGGATGATATTAGGCTTACTCTTTGTGCTAGTGGGAAGTAAGAATTAAAAGGACTCTGCAGTTCAGATGAAAGCAAATGTCTTCTGTTATGTTTCATTTGTATTTTCTGGTTATTTTTCACTGAATGTTTGACGTAATTGTAAAGGATTGATACAACTGTAAATTTATTTTCTAATAACTGCAAATTGTTTTAAAGTTATTAAAGTAGAGACGTAGAAAATAGTTGTATTTTTACTAACTTTAAAATGTGACTCTTGGGCCGGCCCATAGCTCACTCGGGAGAGTGCAGTGCTGATAACACCAAGGCCACGGGTTCGGATCCCATATAGGGATGGCCGGTTAGCTCACTGGGTGAGCATGGTGCTGACAACACCAAGTCAAGGGTTAAGATCCCCTTACCGGTCATCTTTTTTTAAAAACAACAACAACAAAAAGAACATGCAAAGTAAATCAACTGCGAGAGAGCATTTTTTGGCCTATAGATTAGCAGAGCTGAAAAACAGTCTTAACACCTGGTGCTGGGAGGTATGGGGAAGTCAAGGTTCTCTTTTCCTCGCGGAAGTTCATATTGGTTCACTGTTTTTGGAGAACAACTTGATATTTATTTAATATGAAATGCAAGTCAAGGGTTAAGATCCCCTTACCGGTCATCTTTAAAAAAAAAAAAAATGTGACTCTTAAAGTTTTTTAAATTTATGTATTGCATGGATCTTGTAGTTTCACATTTTTATGCTTAAATTTGTTTCTTTTAAAAATTTGTTTGATTTATTTCTGACTTTTTCTGATTTATTTTATAGGAAATGCCACAATCGTTTTCTGCAATCACATTAAGTAACACAGAAATGGATAATATGAAGACTAATATATTGAAAAATAAAATCCCAGTAGATGAACTTGGTGAGGTTTCTGAGCATAAAATTGTCACTAAAGGAACACCACATAAAGAAGATGAGGCAGTGAGCTGTTCTGAAAGTTGTTCAAGTGCCCAAGGCAAGTCATTCTGCAGTGAGTTTCAAGGATCTCATCCTGAGTCTGCCTGTGATTTCTCTAATCCTGAAACTCTGCATGCAAAGGCACCTGATTCAGTTCCACAAGGTACTGAAGAAAACAAGATCAAGAGGTCATCCTGCATGTATGGGACAAACTGCTACAGGTAAAATGAAATTACAGGTAGCATGAAATTCCATTATCTCAACAGCATGCAGCTATGTAGATGTATGCCGTTAGTGTATTAAAAACCTACTAAAACCTATTGGTGGACCTAAAGGTTAGGAGCTTTATCGTGTGTCCACTGGTTTGCACTTTCCCAGTATGCATTCTAGCAAATCCTGTTAGAGGCTTTTAAGATACAATGGAGAATTAAATGTTTTATATGTAGGTATTCTGAGTAATGCAAAGATTTGAATACTGGGGAAGCCAGACTTGAAAGCTGAATCACTCAGACCTAAATACCTGCTTATTTCATGTCTTGTTAGATATCAGAGAGATGGCTTCATAAATAGTCATTGTATACAGTATAACTATGAAGATAATTTTAGGTCATGTTTAGGCATCTTATTATACTTGTGCATTTTCCTTTATATTTTTCTAATGGTGCTTTGAAACACCATAGTACCATCTGAAACAACTGAATATATATTTCTTGGATAGTTTGGTTGCTCCTTCATTTAATTATATTATACTATATTTTCTAATTTTATATTTTGTGAAATCAAATTATAATCCTTTAGTTTTAGGATATAGTTTCATCTATAAGTTTATAATAGCATGTTTATAATTACACAGCACTATGTCAGAAGTATTTCTTTGCCATTCCAACTTGTCAAAACAAATCTTACCAATGCATTCCAGTAGAATCTGTTGTCTTCTATGCAATAGTATATTTACATCACATATTCTGTTACTTTCACATTTGTATTATTTCTCTTTAAAGTGCATTGTCATTTTAGCAGTAGATAACCATATTTTTCAATTCCAGCAGTTCTTATTTATGCACTTATATACAATTTTGTCTATTTGCAATGGCCTTAATTCCATATATGGAACAAAATGTAAATACTTACAGAAGTATATAAATATTCTATTACTTTGGATTTTGAAAAATCCTGTTTGGTATTGGTATGAGTTTGCTAGTGCTGTTATAGCAAAATGCCACAGACTGGGTCGCTTATACAATAGAAATTTGTTTTCTCACAGTTTTGAAGGCTGGAAATCCAAGATCAAGGTGTGGGCAAGTTTGGTTTCTCCTGAGACCTCCCATCTTGGCTTGCAGATGGCTGCTTTCTTGCCTTATCCTCACATGGCCTTTTCTCAGTATGCATATCTCCCTGGATCTGTTCCTCATCTTATAAGAACACCAGTCATTTTGGATTAGGGTCCTACCCTTATGACTTCATTTAACCTTAATTATTTCTGTAAAGGCCCTTTGTCCAAATACAGTCACATTGGGGATTAGGGCTTCAACATATGAATTATGGGGGAGGTGGGAGAAGGTACACAATTCAGTCTATAACAGTATTCAACACTGTCATTTGTCTTTGTAAAAGGTGATTGAATACTTTATCAAGATTATAAGGAATTCATTCATATTTGATAATAATACATGTTCATTTTAATCAGTCTTAGCTTATAGTTATTTTAATTTTTCACTAATTTTGATATACATAATTAATGTCTGAGAAATATTTAACACTGAAACCTTGAAAATAAGGTATATATTTGTAACAAAGGGGAGAAAATAATATATATTGAGTTCTTGTTATATATGTACATCTTAAAACTCACTTAAATATAGCTTTTCTCCAGCTTCAGTGCTACTACTTGAGTTCATACCATTGTCTCTCTCTGGGAAAAGTGTATAGTCTCCTAAATCTCCGTACTTTCCTCGAAACTTACATTTCTCATTGTTGCCAAGTAATCTGGCTAAGAAAATAAAACGATGAAAAAGAAGAAGAAAGAAAAAATCTGACAGCATTACTCTCCTTTACAGAATCTTTCAGTGGCTAAAGTACAGGTTCCTTAGCACAATCTGGAAAGCCCTGAACTCCTGTAATTCTATGGGTCAGCTATGCTTTATGCCCTTTGGACTTATTGTTCTCTTTGTCTTGCTCTTGCCTTGCTTAAGAACTTTACTCACATTCATCTCCTTTCTGAGTCTTATTCTGAGATGCCTATTCTCCTTTAAATTGCTCATCCCCTATTCTATGCAACTTTTTATTTATCTTCATACTGTTTCTGATATTTGATATTAGATTTAATATTTATTACCTAATATTGACTTCTAATTACATATTTATATGTTCTGTCTTAGTAGAATATTATCCCTCAAGGATAGTCTTCTTCAATCCCTTGAGTCATGCTATTGACTCCTGAATTCAATTTTAGATATAGATATTTACCACTTACATCCATAGGCACTTTATATTCAACATTTCTAAAGCAGTTGTATCTCATTTCAATACTTTGTTAAACAAAATAACAAAAAAATAGCATTTAACTTTGTGGGAACTATTACTCACAAAAAAGTCTTTTTGCAGATTTTTCTCTTTGGGGATCATATAGATTTTCTGATTTATAGCAACTGTTCCATTAGTAAACTATTTTTTAAAAGGCATAACTTGAATTATCTCTTATTAGCATATATGAATGTATACCTTAGTCATAACTTGTAGCTCTTATCTTTATAAGATTATATAAATTATTTAAGAATTAATAGTATATAACAGAGTTTTTATCTCTAGTAAAGGTGAAATATCTTGTTGAAGACCAATCCTCCCACTGAAAACAACTAGGAAAGCTGAACACTAACATTTGAAAACATCAAATGTAGCAGTACTTTTAGGCTTCTTTTCCCCTTGTAGCTTTTGCCAAATATTTAGTGTTTCAGGCTGAGGGCTAAGAGGTCAAGCAGAATTTTGAGCAGTCTCGTGTTGGTTGGACAAGAAGAAAGGAGTTCAGCGTTTGCCAAGCAGGAGGGGCTCTGTCTGGAAGTACAGAGGTCCAGGAGAGAAGATATGAGCATAAATGTAAATGAATATTGACTACATAAAGCAATAATACTTTTTATGGTGTGCAAAATATATATGAAATTAAAATATATGAAAATGGCACAAAAATGATTGCTGATTAAAGCAAGTAAAAGTGTTTAAAGCCTTGAAATATCTGGGAAATTATAAGATTACTACTTTGTATCTGATTCTAATAAGTTAAAGAAGCATTTTCTAATCCCTGGGTAACCATCAAAAGAGTAATTATGTAATTAACAAGCTAATGTAAATGGAATAACTTTTAAAATATGATTTTTTAAAAAGGCAAGGAAGGAAGAAAAAGAAACATAGAACATGTTGGATAATTGGAAAAAAAACAGTATGGTAAGATGGTAGAGTTAAACCCAGGTGTATCAATGGTTACATTATATTTAAAGAGATCAAATACTCCCAGTTAATAGACAAATATTGTTACAATGAAAAGAAAAAAAAATCCTCAATCTGCTTATAAGACTAATACCTTAAATATAAGGACATATAAAGGTTGAAATTTTAAAGATGGAGAAAAGTAAACCATAAAAACTATAACCAAAGAAGATCTTATGTGTGCATGCTATTATCAAAGTAGAATTTAAGGCAAGAAGCATTACTAGAGATAAAGAAGGGCTATTCATTATGATAAAACAATCATTGATGTGAAAGTTCTAAATTTGTATGCACCTAACAGTGCAGCCTGAAAACATACAAAGCAAGAATTAGAAAGAGAAGTAAATCTACAATTATAACAGGAGATTTTAATATATCCTTTCTATAAAGTCATAGGCCAATTAGATAAAAAAATTAGTAAGGCTAGAGAAGATTTGGAAAAAACAAACAAATTTGACTTAATTCTGGTATTTAGTATACTGCACTGAACTGATAAAAGTATTCTTTTAAAGTGCCTTTGGAACATTTCCCAAAATAAACCTTACCTCAGGCCATTAAAAAGAAATCTCAAATAATTTTAAAGAATTGAAATCATGCAAAAATGAAAGTATTTCTGAGCACTGTGTAATTGAGCTGAAAATCAGTAGTCAAAGTAGACTGAGGAAATCCCTGAATGCTTGGAAATGATGAGGTTTGCTTCTATATAACCCATGAATGAAAAGAAACCACAATGACATTAGAAAATATGTTAACTAAATTATGCTGAAAATGTGACATATCAAAATTTGTATAATGCACCCAAAGCTGGCTTAGAGGAAAATTTATAGCTTTAAATGCATATGTGAGAAAAAAAGAAAGACTGATAATTAGTGATCTAAGCTTCCACCTTATGTGTGGAATTAGAAAAGGAACAGCAAATTAAACCGAAAGAAAGAAAGAAAATAATAAAGGTAGAGAAGAAAGTTATGAAAATAAAAAAAGGCATAAAATAGAAAAATAAAGACGCCAAAAGCTGCTTCTTTGAAAAAACTTATAGTGTTAATCATCCCCAGAAAGATTAAAAAAGAAGAGTGGGAAGAGTCTTTAAAAGTTATATATGCTTATGATATTTATATTATATACTTATTATATACATGTTTCCTATATAAAAAAATGTTTACAAATTGTCCATTGGTATTCATGACCTATCACATTGACACCAGAAATTTATTATGTTACCATGAGAGTCCTGTACTGACTAGATGTCATCAACTTTATGTCAGCAACATAGCTTGCTGGTTCATTTTCTGAAATAATCAGATGTGTGTTGCTTGGTTTCCTGTTATATTCACTAAAAACTACAATATTCTGTTAATTATTTTTTCTGAGAGTATATTTGTCACCCTCACAGGAAGAATCCTGTCCATTTTCAACACTTCAGCCACCCTGGTGATAGTGATTACGGAGGTGTGCAAGTCATGGATCAAGATAAGACTGATGAGCGGCCTGAATGTCCCTATGGAGCATCTTGTTACAGGTATGTAAAACAAAATGTTTGGCTATACTCTCTTTCTCCCTAATCTCTATTATTTATCCAGGAGAAAATGCCGACAGCTTCTCATCTCAAGCCTTTAACTCTTAGTTTTTAAACTTCTGAAAATTACAGGTTTTCATTTGGTTAATAGGTAGGGTTATGATTTTTTTCAGATAATTCTAAATTGTGTTGAGTTAGTAATCTTATAAATGCCTGAAATTTTTCCTCATTTCTAACTTTTTTTTTTTTTGGCAGCCAGTGGGTAAGGGGATCTGAACCCTTGACCTTGGTGTTATCAGCACCATGCTCTATCCAAGTGAGCTAACTGTCCAGCCCTTATTTCTAACTTTAAAAAATGCAAATCAGGTCATTTAAATGCTGTTTTGCTACCCCAGCATGCACTCTATTCAGACTCCTAGGTGTGACCTGTAAGTCTATTTGGGATCTTATCTCTGCCTTCTTCTGCTTCCTAAACTCTTACTGTTCCACCATTCTTGCCAACACATAAAATTCAATCTTAAAAGAAGAATAAAAGACCCCCTCCTGTCTGCTTCCACAGCACCTTGTCCTCGTTTGTGTCATGCACAGAGTAGAAGTTTTGAAGTTATGTGTGTTTACGGGAAGTCGCCCCCTCCAGGAAGCAAGTATCTTGACAACAATGACTTTTTTCCTTGTATCTTGCAACTTGTTTGATGAATGAATGAATTTGAAATGAACCAAACTACCAAAGAAGGAAGTAATGATTCCTGCCTTAGAGAGCTATAATTCCAGACGAGCATCTTTCTTAGATAATTTTGAAAACAGATTACTGAACCTGGTGGCTTCTTTGAATTTTTGATATTTGTGATTGAGGTTTTCAGTGAGAAGGCAATATAGCTTGAGACTGGAAAGAAAAATCAAAAGGCTTACTTAAACCTTATCATTTGAGAAGAGAGTGTTCCATTCCAGCAATACATCTTGCAGATAATAAGAAAACTTTACTATCAAACTTGAAAATTTAGAAGAAAGGAACAAACTCCTAGAAAAGGACAACTTTAAGAAATAGATATAAGATAAAGTAGAAAATGCAATGATTCTGTAATATTAATACATAATTAAAAGCCTTTCACTGAAGAAATTATAGATCCTTTTGGCTTTAATGGCAAGTTCCAACAAATATTTAAAGAAGAAACACTCAATTTTTACACAAACTATTCCAAAGAAAGTAAAAGAGGATGTATTTCCCAACTCATTTTATGAAGCCAGCATAACCTTGATACCAAAACCCAGCAAGAATAATACAAGAATGAAAAATTACAGAACAAGCTTACTTTTGAACTTAGTTGGAAGTATCCCAAAGAAAAAAGAACTAAGTGAATCAAGCAATACATAAAAAGGAAAATATAATTTGACCAAATGGAGTTTATCCAAGGAATGTACATTTTGTTTAATATTAAAAAAGAAAATGTAATTTACCATGTCATCAGAATAAGTAGAAAGGCCATATAGTCATCCCAATAGATGATTGAAAAAAAGAAATGACAAAAACCAGTATTTACTTATAATAAAAATTCATTACAAAATAGGAGTAGATGAAAATGAAAAATAGAACTACCATGTGATCCAGCAATCCCATTGCTAGGTATTTATCCAAAGGAAAGGCAACTGGCATACTGAAGAGATATCTATACCACCATGTTTATTGCAGCACTATTCGTAATAGCCAAGATATGGAATCAACCTAGGTGTACATTGACAGATGAATAGATAAAGAAAATGTGATATATATACACAATGAAATTCTATTCAGCCATGAAAAAGGATGAAATACTGTCATTTGCAGTGACATGGGTGAGTCTGGAAGACATTATGTTAAGTGTAATTAGGCACAGAAAGATAAATAACACACGTTCTCACTCATATGTTGGAGCTAAAAATAAAATTAGTTGGACTTTTAGAAGTAGAGAATAGAATGATGATTACTAGAGTCTGAAAAGGGGAGGAAAGGAGGGGAGATAGGGAGAGGTTGGTTAATGAGCACAAAATTATAGCTAGATAGGAAAAATAAGTTTTAGTGTTATACAGTAGCGCTAAACATCTATAATTAACAGTAATTTAGTGTATGTTCTCAAATGCCTAGAAGAGAGGAGATAGAATGTTTTCATCACAAAGAAATGACAAAATTTTACAATGATGAATATGCTAATTACCCAGATTTGACCATCACACATTTTATACATGTACTGAAATATAACTCTGTACCCCAAGCAGAGAACTTAATTTATAACACCGTCCTCTAACCAACTGAGCTAACTGGCCAGCCTAGGGAATTTGCTTTCTGAAATTAGAAATGAGACAAGAATGACTGTTATTAGTACTTCTGTTCATTGTACTGGGGATTCAAGGCAAAAAGAGGAAAATAGATAAGGATTGGACAGGAAGAAATAAAACTTTGTGTTCACTGATGGTTTATTGTATATGTAGGAAATACAAAATAGACTACTGATGAATCATAAATATTAGTAAGTACTTGGCACGGTTGTTGGGTACAAAAATCAATATACAGAATCAATTGTATTTCTATATTAAACACCAACCAGTTATAAATATCTTTAAAGAAATTATTTTCTAAGAACATCAACAAGTATCAAGTTCCTAGAAATAAATATAATAAAAGGTGTGAAAATCTCTATGTAGAAAACTGTAAAAAATTTTTTTTTTTTTTTCTTGACCGGCTACAGATCGCAACCCTCAGTGTCGCGCCCGTACCGGACCGGGACCGGCAACGGGATCGCAACCCTCGGTGTTGCTCCCGCACCTCGCTCAGCCAGTGAGCGGCCGGTCTGTATGTGGGATCCGAACCCTCGGTGGGAGCGCCACCGCGCTTCCCAAGCAGCGCACTGTAGCAGTGCGCCACCGGGCCAGCCCATAAAACTGTAAAATTTTGATAAGAAAATATCTTAAAGTAAACCCAAGAAATCATAAAGACAAAAATGTTCATGATTGAAAGATTCTATATTGTTAAAATGCCAATTTTCCCCAAGTTGGTTTATATGAAAATTAACTCAAAATTATAGTAGTTTTTGTATAGAAATGAATAATGTAATTCTAAAATTTATATGTATTTGCAAAGGATGAAAAATAGCCACAACTGTCTTAAATAATGAAGAACAGGTAGCAGAACTTGTTATACTTTATAGTAATGTAAGCTATGTGGCTAAAAGATAAAGTAGCAAGACCAGAATGTAATAGAGCCCAGAAACAGATCTATTCATACCTTTACATATACAGGTGACATACTTACGAGAAAGGGCATTGCAGGCATTGAGAAAAATGAATTTTTCCAACTAATTATACTGGAATAATTGGCTGTCCATCTGGAGAGAAATTCACCTTTGTCTCCCCAGTGAAACCTAGCATGGTGCCCAAGTCCCTAAGATGGAACCAGGCTTTTGTGATTCTCTTTAGCTTTTCCTCTAAGAACTGGAACAAAACAAGGATGCCCACTCTCACCAATTTTATTTAGCATAATACTACTGGAAGCACTAGCCAGAACAATTAGGCAAGAGAAAGAAATAAAGGGCATCCAAATTGAAAAGGAGGAAGTCAAATTGTTCCTTTTTGCAGATGACATGATTTTATATACAAAGAAGCCTAAAGACTACCAAAAAACTCCTAGACCTGATAAATAAATTCAGTAAAGTTCCAGGATATGAAGTCAACATATAAAAATTAGTAGCATTTCTATACACCAACAATGAATTAGCAGAAAAAGAAAGCAATCCCATTTGCAATAGCAACAACAACAAAAAATACCTAGGAATAAATTTAACCAAGGAGGTGAAAAACCTCTACAATGAAAAATATAAAACAATACAGATTAAAGAAATTAAAGACTCACAGAAAATGGGAAGACATCCCATGTTCATGGGTTAGAAGAATCAATATTGTCAAAATGACCATACTACCCAAAGTGATCTACAGATTCAATGCAATCCCTGTCAAACTATCAATGGCATACTTCACAGGAATAGAAAAAACAAAAGTTTATATGGAACAATGAAAGACTGAATAGCCAGAGCAATCCTGAGCAAAAAGAACTCCCTGACTGGAGATAGCATTGCTGGATTGGTTTTCAGGCTGGGTGTATGGGTGAGTAGTGTGTCAGGCATTCTGGAACTAGTTTGCCAGTGGCAGGGTCACTCTGACTGGGGGCGGGTCTGCCGGGGCACATTGGCCAAACTGCTTCTCACTTGAACATGTATGTGTGTGATGACTGAAACACTCAGGTTGGTCTACTAGGGTCGTGACAGCTGGGCTGTTTCTCTCAGTCAGGGGCATCGACACACTTTGGCTCAGCTAGCTGGGTGTGGGTTGGCCAGCAGCCAGTTCACTGTGCCATTTCTTGGGGCTGGTGTAGAGTTGTGCTTGCCTTGGCAGCTCAGCAGTTGTGGAGTGGGTCTGCCAAGGGCGGAGCTGTTGAGCCACTTTTTGGGCTGTGGGTGAGGCTGCTGTTACTCTTTTGAAATTAATGCTCCTTAGGCTATTTTTAAGATATTTATCTTTTAAGTTTTCAACAGTTTAACTAACATGTACCTAGTTATGTTTTCCTTTGTATTCATCTTATTTGGGGTTCACTGAGCTTTTTTGCAAGTTGATGTCTTTCATTAGTTTGAGGAGATTGCTTGGCTATTATCTCATCAGATATTATTTCTGCTGCATTCTATCTTTTCTGTCCTTCTTGTACTCCAACTAAACATATATTGAACCTTTCGACCATGCCCCACATGTCCCTTCTGCACTGATTTGTTCTTTTAATCCTTTTTTTCTTTTGTCTGTCCATCCATTCACTATAAGTCTGTGTGAGTCTTTATAGATGAGGTGAGTTTCTTGTAGGCAGCATATAGTTATGTCTCTTTTTTTAAATCCAGTTAGCCAGTCTATGTCTTTTGAGTGGTTAATTCTATCCATTTACATTTAGGGCTGTTATTGAAAGGTATTGTCTTATTTCTGACATTTCATTG